TGAAATTCCTAATCTTGGCCTTGACCTCAAAAATTTTGGCCTTGGCCTTATCCTTGGTCTTGTAAATTGTGGCCTTGGCCTTGCTACTTTTGGCCTTGTGACAACTCTGTGATAACTCTGTGATAACTACTTTTGGCCTTGTGACAACCTTGTGATAACTCTGCCTAAGTGACATTCTGAAAACCACATCCATCGTTTCCTCACTAAGAAAAAAAAAATATGCAATGCATATTTTATTTACACAGTAAAATTTAAATTTTAAGTGTGTGTTTTTTCCAGATTTATAAGTACTTATATTAAAAATTGCGCACTTAATTACATTAAAGGATAAAAAAAGTAATTGTAGTCGATTCTTTATAATAATATGTAACAACTCCGGGAGGGTGAACGATGATAATTTACGACATCCGTTTCAATTTTGAAAACGAGGCGTACTTTTGACTTCTACTATATATTGCTAACCCTTCTTTTTACGGAACGCACTCTTGTCAAACCCCTATTCCGACGTTGAGCGTCCTTTGCGTCAGCGAACTCGTGTTTCTAGGAAAAGGGCAAAACGGGGTATATAGGGATTTGCGCAGCGGTGCGCACATACACGAACTAACTTTTAGAGAGAACATGCAGCGGAGTGTGTAAACAACGACTGAGAGTTTGGGGTGGGTAGGTTCTCTTTTAAATGAAGAAGTCGTTTTTTACATTTTCGGACCTTAAGGACAGCGTCGGAATAAGGGTTTGACAAGAGAGCCTACCTCTTTTTACATTGTAGCACTGTGCGGCCGGAACCGAAAAGAGAAACCTGGTCCGCAATTTTACTCCATGCATCGTCTTTTGTAAGTTTTGAGATTGCTAAAAATAATTGAAATTTTCTATTAACATTAAAAAAAATTTTAAAATGTTTTATCATTATTAGATAATATATATCTAAAATAAATCTATTTTACAATGAGAAAATTTTCCATCTAGCAATCTCTTATTCTCGTTATACAGCTTGACCAAAAGACTTATCTGCTCAAGCGTCCAATTTTCAGCTCTTTTTTTAGAATCTTTCTTGATTTCTGACACTGGAGTAAATAATTTCTCAAAAAATTTTAGCATCAACATATTTATCATTATGCCATAATAAAACAAATAAATAAAACGCCATACATAAATTAAACTACTTTTTTGTACCATTTAACATAAATACTACTACTAATATTAAAAATGATTAGTAAAATATTTAGTAGAAAAAAAGAATTAATAAAAATAAAAACCTACTTCTAAGCAGCAATATTAATTTATTACTGATGCTTCTTTGAAGAACTTAATTTTGTTACAATGTCTGCAGATATTTTATAGTAATCAGTGTAGGCATTAAAAACTAATATGTACATTTATAATTTTTATTTATTTCCTTATTAGATCATTTGCTCAGTAAATAGTATACTATATTGATTTAATTAATCAAGAAATTAGTTAAAGAAACATTTAAAATTTAAACTAAGTACGTGTATTTCCCCAAATAAGGAAAAAATTACAAGAAACATCTCTCTCTCAATCGTTCATTCTCCTTAATTCTCCTTCTCATCTTCTGGGAAATATACGTTCTTAGTTATATATAATTTATATAAAACGTTCTTAGTTATATATAATTATATAATAACTTAGTTATTATATAATTATATATAAGACACACACGCACATTTTTGCGTAAGTTTTGCGTACCTCATGCGCAACCTTACGCAACCTTACGCCTTTACGCAAACGCTAGGAAAAAGTTGTGATTACCAAATAGCTACGCAAAAATTAGTTTGCGTAAGTTTTTCATAACTTTTACTCAGCTACGCTAGAGTTACGGAAAAGTTGTGAATAAGCTCCCAGACATAATTAGCGATTCCACGGCGCTACAAAAAACATTTGACGTTTGACGAAAAACACTGAATTTTCATAAACTTTAGTCTTTTTTATCTTTTTGTAGGGAAAAGCAATCACCTTGAGGTTTTTTGTATCAATTAGTTTTACTCAACCTCTTTCCAGTTATATATAGAAAGTACTACGCTTTGTATGGCTTCATTTAAATATTATCAATATCCTGAGACCACTTTTGATAAAAAAGTTTGCCGCGGAAACGTTTTTTTAAAACGAAGCTTTTGGAGGTAAGGATTCCTTAGTACTAAATCATATCCAATTTTTATAAAACTTTCCGTATATATTAAAAAGGGGATGAGGAATCTAATGGAATGTGGACACTTTTTAACTTTTATACAAAAATTTTTAGTTCTCAGAGTTTTTTAAAAGTGTCCATGTGGAAATGACAGGTTTAGCCTTTCCTCTTTTTAAAACAAGTATTTATTTATGTTTCCTTGAAGAATATATACTAAGGATTTGTATATAGAAATTATGTGTATATGTATCTATATTCCTTCGCGTATTTTATGACGTTTTTTGTTTTGATTTTGCGTTTTAGTAATTTTAACTTCAAATAAAATTGAAAGTGAAAGTATAATTCTTTATACTTCTTAAAGACTTCTGTTTTCAAGGCATTAAAATTTTTATTTTTTTATTTTTTAAAGGTATTTTAATCTGTCAGATTCTTTAAACTGTTTTTTTTTTTCAAAACAAAACCTGGTAATAGTAACCAACTAAAGTTTACTAAATGGAAATGTGTAAGAAAGTTGTCAGTTTTTTTCAATTATTTTTTTTTTTTTTTATATTGGTGAAAGAAGCAATGAATTCTAATAATAATTTAATTTACCTTTGTTATAATCACTTAAACTAAGTTTAACATTAATTTTAGCTACCAAAATGTTGTCAGAAACAGCACCCTACAAGATCATTTTGGATTTTCTAAATATAAATGTAAGCATTATTTCTGTCAAATATCCTGACTTTATGTTAACTAATAGCCACTTTTTAAAAATATGCACACAAAAAAAAGATGAATATAACTAACTTGGCAAAATCTTTCATTATTTTTTACAACCTAATGTAAATATAATATCTCTAGAGTGATGCTAATAAAGTACTTGAAAAAGTTCAAAAATAATGTTGCAAAATTAAATCGAGAAAAAGTGACTTAACAAAAGATTTTTTAAACTCTGTTTTATCTTTTTCTGATGTTGTTTGTTTGTCACCTGATGATTGTTCTACCCCCACTCCTATCCATAATAGTGAAATTGTTCCAAATCATGGGACTGTTTTTCCAATATAAACTTGCAAATTGCTAATGATGATTTTTTGTGCTCTGGTACCCCAGCTTCTATTGGATACATCCCTTTAGGTAATGGTTCTGAAAATTTTATTCTTGAAACACAAGTTAACGAAAAGTATCTCCCAGTTTCCAATTTAGATAAAAAAACTACCTATATTATCTGGTGATTTGATCTATCAAATAAAAAAATACAAACGGAGAATTAATCATCTCAAATTTCAGTTTAGACAAATTAATCGAAGATGGAGTGAATATAAAAGAAAATATCAAGCAATCTTGTCAAAATATAATGTCAGAAATCTCAACAAAAGAGAAGTTAGAAAGGAAGTTAGAAAGGAAGTTAGAAAGTTTGAATTACTTCACAAATCTGACAGAAGAGCTATAGGAAAGAGTTGACGATTTTGAAAACAGTGTAACTGATGTTTTTATAGATATAATGATATAATGAACAAATTCACTCTGTATATCATGGCCTTCTAAGTAAAAATGTTTCTGTCAATAATGTAGAGTCTGTAATCAGAACTATATTACAAAAAATGGCTGGAATTTCATGTAGCACACTTCCAAAAAAACTTTAGCTGCTGAAATTTTTAGTGAAATGAACATTTTATCAGAAGCTCAAGTTAAAGAGGCTATTATAAATAGTTCACACAATGTTCTTCATACAGATGGCACAAAATACAATTTTAAGGTTGTTGGTAGTTTTCAAGTTACAATGTCATCTGGTACATTAGGGATAGAAGATATGTTTTCGGGCGAGGCACATTCTTATTTTGGTGAGCTAAAAAATTTACTCATTGATATGGCTCAGTTATTTTCTCCTGAAAATGACAGCTACAAGGATAATCTTAAAAAGCTTATTTTTTCCTTTAAATCTTTGATGACAGATTGTTGTTAATTTAAGTTTTTTTCACCAATTTAAACATTGGAGAGAAACAATTTTGCCTTTTGTTGTTGAAAACTATGATCAGCTTCCTTTAAATGAAAAAATAAAAAATTTCTTAAATATATCATGTTTTTTGTGGTTTAAATATTATCCACAATAAAGAGGTATATGCTGAAAAAGCAATCAGGAAATGGGAAAAAGTGGTTGATGAGGAATGCGAAATTTGGAAAATGGTGGTTTTAAAAATTCTCAAAACTCACGTACCTTTGACATTTTGTATGAACTTTCAAAACTTACAAGCTATAAACATGGTTATCAACGGAATGGGAAAGCTGATAAATGGAAGGCATTTTTGCGCATAAGGTTTTTAAAAAACTATATTGTTTCATTCCTGCATCATTTTTCAGGATGATCATTAATGTTGGTTAGAAACGGTAAAAAGCTAAGGATAGAAGTTCACCTTCTTAGTTAAGTATTGACACTAGCATGAATTTGCAGCGTTTAGTGGCTAGTGTTGCAAAAAAACACGTTTTTTTGCTGTCGCGTTTTTTTCACCCAAAAAAACGTGTTTTTTTGGTTTTTTTGGCGTTTTTTTGTTTTTTTTGGCGTTTTTTTGGTTTGGGTGTAGGATTTTTTGGATTTTTTTAAAACTCTTATGGTATATCTGTTTACTTATTTTGTGTAAACAGAGTGTTTAGCCAAAGTGGTATAAAAATATATATCTTTTTGATTAGGAAAATGGCTAAACAGTTATTTATTTTTTAAAAAAATTTCAAGATTTTTACCTCAAAAAAATTATGCATTTTCCTTATATTAAACATGAAAATGATTACCTTTTTTTATTTTGCAAAGCAGTGTTTCATATAATAAATATATTTCATATAATAATATATTTCTTTCATATTTTTTAATTTTTTTTTTTTTTTTTTCGGCATAATCAACGGGAGTAAGACGTGTTTTAAGTAAATAAAAAAGCAATGGAAATCACAATGAAAAACATTGAAATACTAATATCAAATAAGTTAGATGAACATAGGAAAAGTATTTTAAAGGAAACAGAAAAGCTACTCAAGAAACAAGAGAAAACTTTTACTTTAATTGTAAGTGGCAACCTTAAAATCATATCAGATAAACTTAACGTGATGGAGAAAGAAATTTTAGAAAACAAATCAAAAATTAAAAATATAGAAAAGGATCTAAACGACGTTAAAGATAGTCTAAATTTCCAAGAAGAAAAAACTTTAGAAAAACTTAAAAAAATTATAAAATACTTCGACAATGAAATCAACGTATTGTATACAAGAACAACAGATTTGGAAAATCGATCACGTCGAAATAATCTCAGAATAGATGGATTAGTAGAAAAACCAGGAGAAAGTTGGAGCGAGTGTGAAATTGCAGTGAAAGAAATCTTTAATAAAAATCTTAAAATATCAAGCGAAGTGGTTATTGAAAGAGCCCATCGAATTGGCCCAATTAATAATAAAAAACCTAGAACAATAGTATTAAAACTCTTAAATTTCCAGGATAAAAACAAAATCCTAAATGCTGTAAAAAATCTTAAAGGAACTGGTGTGTATATTAACGAGGACTTTTCGCAAGAAACGATTGAACAACGAAGGAAACTTTGGGAAGAGGTGAAACGACTTCGAAGTGAAGGTAAATACTCCATTTTAAAATATAATAAAATATTTAGTCGAGATTTTAAAAAGTAGCAGCGCGTATTTTTCTTAATTTTTCTTTTTTTTTCTTTCAAAGCGCTTTTAATTTCTCATTTTAAGCATAATGAATAACGAAACAATAGATTTTGAAACGCTGCACTTTAATGTCTTCGAAACCGCAAATAATGTTATACTCAACGATTTGAATGACGCAGATGCGCAGATTTTTCGCGGAATAAATTTTGGTTCTCAATATTTTGAAACAGAAACTTTTAAAACTGAACTTACAACTTTAAGGAATAAATTCACTGCATTACACATAAATATAAGAAGCATAAATAACAACATTGATAAGCTTTAGCAATTTCTAACCGAATGCAATTATTTATTCAGTATGATTTGTTTAACCGAGACATGGTGTTCTGACGAATCGTCCAGAATAAATTCAAACTTAGAAATTCCTAATTACAAATTAATATCTTCTGAAAGAAAAACTAACAAAAGGGGAGGGGGAATTATTAACTATATTCGAACTGATCAAGCCACCAAATATAGACATGATCTTTCTACCTCAGATGCCGATAGTGAGGTCTTTACAATTGAGATAACAACAAATAACAAATCAAAAAACATATTAGTCTCCACATGTTATAGACCACCTGATGGTGATATAACAAAATTTTCTAATCATTTAAAACAAATTTTTTATAAAAATAACAATGAACAAAAAAAACTATTTTGTATTGGAGACATTAACATTGATTGCTTACAATACGATAAACATGCCAAAACTAAATTTTTTTTTTTTGACGAAATGCTCCAACATTACATCTTCCTAATTATTAATAAGCCGGCTCGGGTAACTCAATCATCAGTAACGTCAATAGACAATATATTAACAAATACAGTTCTTGATGTTACTTTAAAAGCAGGTATTATAAAAACAGATATATCGGATCATTTTCCGATTTTCTTTTCTCTGTCACACGATACAAAAACTACTAACGACTGTAAAATTGAAATTCATAAAAGGAAAATTAACAAATATGCTATTCAACAATTTAAAGAATCACTATCGGCAATAAACTGGGATAAAGTATACCAAGAATGTAACCTTGGACGCACCAACTCTGCTTACACTAATTTTGAAAACATTTTCTTAAAAAATTATAATAAATATTTCCCAATAAAAGTAATGCTAGTAAAAGAAAAACATCTAAAATATCCGTGGATCACCAAAGGCATTAAAAAATCTTCAAAAAAAAAACAAAAACTTTATATCAAATACTTAAAAAATAGAAATGAAGCAAACCTAAATGCTTACAAGAAATATAAAAATTTGTTTGAAAAAATCAAAAAGATTTCAAAAAAGAATTATTATTCAAATAAAATAAAAAACTCCAAAGGTGATATTAAAAAAACGTGGGACGTAATTAAAGAAATAATTGAAAACAAATATTGCAAACCAAATAGTTTACCTACTAAAGTTGTTATAAATAATGAAGAGTATGTCAGTAGTGACGTAATCTCAGAAAAGTCTACCAATTTTTTCGTTAACATAGGCCCTAACCTGGCTACAAAAATTAATTGTCCAAACAACTCATTTGAGACATACTTAACTAATAACAATGACGAATTAGCATTTAGCGAACTAAAAATTGAAGAACTTGAAGTTGCGATAAAATCTCTTAAAATAAATAAATCTCCAGGTATAGATGATATTTGTAGCAATATCGTTATCGATGTCTTTTTGGAGATACGCAAACCGATCTTCGAAATATTTAAATCATCAATTAAAACAGATACTGTACCAGATAAATTAAAAACAGCTAAAATTATACCAATTTTTAAGACAGGCGAAACATCTTTATTAAATAATTACAGACCGATCTCTATACTGCCTACTTTCTCTAAAATACTTGAAAGAATAGTTTACAATAGATTATACGAATATCTCCTTCAAAATAGCCTCTTAAACAAAAAACAATTCGGGTTTCAAACAAAACACTCAACCGAACATGCCATTTTAGATCTTGTAAATAGCATGAGTGATTCTTTCGATAAAAAGCAATTTGTATTAGGGACTTTTATAGATTTATCTAAAGCGTTCGACACAGTTAATCACAATATCTTACTTAAAAAAATGGAAAGATATGGTGTTAAAAATATATCCCTTGACTGGTTCAAAAGTTACCTGAGTAGCAGAAAACAATGCGTTGTTACAGATCATAATAAATATTCAGACCTACAAGAAATAAAATGCGGAGTTCCCCAAGGTTCCATTCTGGGTCCCCTTTTATTTCTAATATATATCAACGATCTTCCAAAAGCCCTAAAAAAACTTGATGTAATAATGTTCGCTGATGATACAAATTTATTTTACTCATCGCCGTCTATAAGCGACCTTTACGAATCTATGAACACTGACCTCGAAAACCTCAACATCTGGTTTAAAGTTAATAAATTATCTTTGGATACAGATAAAACAAAATATATCTTGTTTCACTCCAACCGTCTTAAAAACTTTATACCAGGCACTCTACCTTCACTAAAAATTGATAACATAAACATCAAAAGAACTGAAATAACTAAGTTTCTTGGAATAATTATTGACCAGAATATTAATTGGAAAGCCCATATTAATATAATAAACACAAAAATATCAAAAAGTATCGGCGTACTCTGCAAAGCCAAACCTATGCTTTCCCAAGACAACTTAAAAACTCTCTTCTTTTCTTATATTCAAAGTTAACTAATATACGCTAATATTGCATGGGGAAGTACCCATAAAACTAAATTAAATTCACTCTACATACATCAGAAACATGCATCGAGATTAATTTATAATAAAGGTAAATTCACTCATGCCGACCCTTTACTTAAAAATTTGAATGCATTAAATATCTATCAAATAAATATTTACCAAAGTATCTTATTCATGCTAAAATACAAACTCGGACTTGTTCCGAAATACTTTACTGATAGCTTTTTTCATATCAACGCAAACAAATACATCACACGAGGAACAGGCAACTTCACCCTGCCTTTAAAAAAAACAAAATTCTCGCGATTTTCTTTAATATACCGTGGCCCATACTTACATAACAAAATAATACTTCAAAATATGGAACTTAATAAAATAGATAACCTTATTGCTCTGAAAAAAAAACTAAAACATATCATAATTAACTTAACCAACTTCATCGAAATGTATTAAACAATTTGTGAAAAACAGTAATAATAAAAAGCCCTACTACTTCTACTCTATAGTAGATACCAAAATACTTATGTGTATTTGTTGAACTAGTTCATTAAAGTTTATTTTATGTTTTAAAGGTTCTCGATGAAAAGACTATTTTAGTCTTCTGCGAGTTTCCTTACAACTAAGTAAATATTTTTTAAGAATAATTTTACATATATATATATTCAACAACGTCCACAAGCAAGTCCCTAGTAGCCCTGTGGTACGACGGACTTGCATATATTTTTTAAATGCATGGGTTAATAGCCAGCACTTTATATTATAAACAACGAATAGTTACCTTATTTTGTACACTGTACAACGCGCATGCGCTAAACAGAATTTTGAATTTGTTTTGTCTTGTAAAGATTTTAATGGTACAAAAATTGTTTAATTGTACGTTTTGTAGTTATATGTAAAAATATGTAATTTTGTTTTATTGAAATATATACGGATACTTTTGTTGTAAAAAAAAAAAAAAAAAAAAAAAAAATATCAAAAATATTTATTTAGATAATCCTGATTCATTCCATTAAATAATACATTTATTGTTATTCAAAAAAAAATTATGGATTAATGAAAAATTTAATGAACATAAGTTGAAGAAGTTAAAAAAGTTGAAATATAATTTTGTAATTTTAAAACCAGTGACAGATCCAGGGGAAATGAGAGGTATGAACCTACCACCCCGCACCAGAATCCATAAATTTATAAAATATCTTTAAATTTTTAAATTTTTTTTTAGTAGGCAAAAATGTGATACAAAATAAACTAAATTTTTAACAAGCCCCGATTCCCCCTCACACCCACACAAAAAATTCCCAGATCTGACTTATTTTGCGATGCAGTGTTACTTCATTCATATAATAAATTCTTAAAACAGTTCAATATTAAAAAAGATGCAATTCATGGCCTTTACTTATAAAAATTTACTTCTTTGTCTTTACTTATAAGAATTATTATTAAAAATTATTAAAAAAAAAAAAAATTGTTTTTCTAATTAATGCTGCTTTTTCAAATTTTTTTTTTTTTTTTGAATAATTGAACAATTGCTAAACTAAGACATTACTAAAAATATGGTAAATGGAAGTATTAAAACAAGTATTTAATAAATATCACCAAAAATAAATTTTAAAACCATTTCAGTGTTTAAAATGCAAAAAGAGTGGTTTTTAAGGCAAAAAAGCAAAAAAACCAAAAAAAACAAAAAACGAAGTCCTCGGTTTTTTTGGCCAAAAAAACGTTTTTTTTGGCAAAAAAAACAAGAACCAAAAAAGCGACTTACATCTCTATAAGTGCCACAGGTTATCTGTGTTTTGTGATTGTGATGTTATTGTTGTGATGTTTTGTGTTGATAGACAACTTGGCTTACCTTCTCGCTGGTGTCTATCGTTAAAAATGATTATTAGGTTGTTTTGTTACTTAAACTCTCTACCTAAAATCCAAGAGATAAGTTTTAGAATAACAACATTTTTTGTTATAATGTTGTTTTCACTTTTTTATCTTAGATGTTGTCAATAGTTCACATAATAATCATCTCAAAGAGTAAGTTTCTTATTTTTTATTTATTTAGTTTTAATTGTTAATTTATAAATTTTTTTTCATTTTTTAAACCAATTAACAAATATATTTTTAAAATTGTGTATCTGTGTGTTTTAATAATAATTTTATTACAATTTTAGGTTGAGTTTCTGCTGTTACACCTGCTATTGCTGTTGTAAGTACTCAAAGTTTTAGGAAGTTATATTGCTGTAAGTTGTTTTTCATTCAAATTTAAATTTTAACTTTATTAAAGAATCTTTTGTCTGGTAAATAAATTCTGAATGATTTAAATATATTTCAATGCCCATACTAATTTACTAATCGATTTGTAAATTAAGTAGTAGTTTTAAACAGATGAATTGGATTCCACGATCCTTTATGCATATTTGCATGGAGTTTTATAATATGACCCAAAATTTTTCTAAAAAACTAGGTAAATAACTAAAAACACTTCAGTCTGTAAAATTAACAATTCTGGATAATTTCGACAGATGCAAAAAAAATTATGGCATTTAATTTTCTTATAGTTTTGTATTCCTATCAAAAATTTCAAGTCAAATGTAATAACAGTTGGAAATTATCAAATATTTTTAAAGTCAAATAGGTTTGTGCAACATAGATATGTCCAATAGGTTGGTGCAACCCTTTTGTAGTAGTTTACTGACCGGTCTGTAAATTATGCAATAATTTCAAATTGAGGTATTTTTCAGATTCCATGATTCCTCTATGCATATTTGCATATTGTAACCTTAATTTTTGTTGTTCATTACATAATTATGTAAGTAAAAACACTTCAGTCTGTAAAATAAATGATTCTGTATGATCTCAATAGATTCAATGAAAACTGGATCACTATTCAAAATTTCAAGTCAAATGTAATAACGGTTCAAAAATATCAAATATATTTAAGGTCAATATGCCTAATTGGTGTGTACATCTATTTACTATAATTGACCGACCGGTCTGTAATTTATGCAATAAATTTACTGATAGGTCTGTAAATTAAGCAATAGTTTTCAAATGATGTATTTTTTGGGTTCCATGATTCCTTTATGCATATTTGCATAGCGCAACCCTAATTTTTTTCTTCATAACACAATTAAATAAGTAGAAACCTTTCAGTCTGTAAAATAAACAATTCTGGATAATCCCGACAGGTTTAATAAAAACTGGATCACTATTTAAAATTTTAAGTCAAATGTAATAATGGTGCAAAAATATCAAAAATTAAAAACAATTACAAACTATTTAAAGTTGATATGTTTAAATTGTTTGAACAGCCCATTTTCAATAATTTAATGACCGAACAGTAATTTATGTGATTATTTTACTGACTAGTCTGTAAATTATGCACTTGTTTTCAAATTATGTATTTTTTGGATCCCATGATTCCTTTATGCATATTCGCATGGTATAATTATGATATGACCCCA